AGAAAATATTTTGTTGCGAATGAACAAGATATTGAGGAATTGTCCATACGTAAAATCATAATCATAGATACGGGCCTTTTCCATAGAAAATGAGAATCTTGTGTTACAATAGAAGCAGAAGTAATGTGAATAATTCAAGAATCGAAGTCAATTTGATCCATTCGATATTTTCCTTGGGAGGTATCGGGAAGGAATTGGAATGGAATAAGATCAAACCCAGATGAAGTTCTGACCATCTATCAGAGAAAAAAGAACGAACGGAATGGAGCTGAGCTATCCTGATCATTCCCAATGTAACATCCAATCCTCTTTTCACAGCCCAATCAATGAGAAAGAGGTAAAAATCACATTTCACTCTCTAGTCAAATAATATCGATCATATTTGAACCACTATCAAGGACTTGCGTCAAAATGAACCTATTGTTCACTTATGCATCACAATTTTAGAGGAAACCGAAATCGCAAAGACAAACATGTCGAATCACATAGGGGTTTAGATTGTATACAACGGATTTCACAAATATAATTTATACAAATAGAGAATTCGATAAATATATTAAGATATCACAAACAAATTTATACAAAACACAGGGGGATTGCACAATGAAGTTCCAGAGTCTAGCATGTTATTTAAACCAAGTCTCATGAAAGGTCATATTAGAGGGCACAAATGCCAATTTGTGATCCATATTTCTCTATACTATCACAACAAAGAAGAAAGATAAAATAAAATAAAATAAAAAATCAATTCGATCATAATCTCATTTTGTTCGTGTACACAGATGATCATATAGATCAATATGGAGAGAGAATAACTACATTTTTAGAAATTTTGAATGGAATATAGAGAGACAAAATATTGAAAAATGGTTAATTTAAGACCCGCATTTTGAGTTATAAAGATTTTCTAAAGATAAGTACTTTGAATTATAAGGATTTTATAAAAATAACGTAGAAGTCATACATTTTCACAAAATATGTAAAATTCATATATCATTGGAGAATTCTATCAACTTACTTTCATATGAAAAACGATTTGAATCCTGGATCCGTGCCTTAGAGTTATAAGGATTTTGCCAAAATAATGCAAAAGTAGTATACATTCATACATGTGGTGAATAGCATCTATATTTTCACCACGGATAAAATCATATGTACCGAGGGGGGGGGGGGGTACCGAAGCGTGTGC